TTTCTTCGCTCTAATAGATGAATTTTGAGTGAAAACTGTTACTGTGATGTGGAGGGGTGGAAGGTCAAAATGCTGCTAGGCAGGACTGGGCGCTCTGCTGTCTCGCAGGAAGACAGCGTCTGCCTCCCAGGTAGTGGGGAAGGTGGTTAAGGGGCAGGCTCAGGCCGTACCGCTTTTTCACATGTGACATTTGTACTTCACAGGTGGTTTCATCCGAACATCAGTGGAATTGAGGCAGAGAAGCTGCTCCTGACCAGGGGGGTCCATGGCAGCTTTCTGGCTCGCCCCAGTAAGAGCAACCCAGGAGACTTCACTCTCTCTGTCAGGTAAGCAAACAGCAGCAGACAAGAGTTGGATGACGGGGCTGTCTTGAACTTTCCAGCACGCTCTGCTCCAATTAGTATATGTACCAGGGGAGGGTGCACAGAGGTGATGTTTGTAGTAGCACTTGCCTTTAGAGTCAATGGACTTTCCCCATCACTGCAGAGTCCATGCTGAGAGTCGCATGCTACGTTTTCCCTGGCTTGCTCATCCCTCTGGGAAGCCCATGTGCCCGTCCTGCCAGGCTTGGCTGCGGGCTTGGGGAATGTCTTTTTGGAGCCGTTGGCACAAGCGGAGGGGAGATAACACGCACGCTTAGGTTTATGGGGAGAGCGGGTTCCGTCCCAGGGGTAATTAATCATCCCTTTCCAGTTTCAAAGGAACTTGATGTAGCTGCATGTCAGAGAGACTTGCTTCTTGTGTCTGTGAAGGATCCCGGAAACATCTCTGTAAGAAAGAGAGCTTACTGACCAGCCTGCTGAAGACAGGTTTCCGAACAGCATCACGTGCATCATCTTTACAGCGTTCTTGTGTCCTTCGGGACCAAGGCGGTTGTAGAAAGAAGGGCTGCAATTTTGTGAATGCGGCCCCTTAGGATACAGTGGAGCAGATGCACAGGGGACAACTCGCTGAAGGTGAACTAAAGGGAAGAGGCAGAGCAGCTTTGACTACTGAGCCCCTGAGATAAAAAGGGGGAGGTTGCGGGGTCGAGGATTGACCTCCTTCGGTAAGAGCCATCCATCTGGTGCCCTGGAGGGAAAGTAGCTCAGCAACGGTTTCCCTGGGCGCTTGTAACACAAATCTCTGCCTCCCCACCTCATTTTGTTTAGGAAACTCCGTCGAGTTTATACATCCTCTTACCTACACTGTGTTTAGAGAAGCTTTGTGCAAACAACAGACTGGATAGAGCGTTTCCACCTGGCAGGGTGTAACATCTAACAGGATGTGAGCAACGCTCGGCAGTGTCTGAGCCTCGGTCCCTCCCCGTGCTCCTCTTCCCCCCCGGCCACGTTGTGTGGGAGCTGCTTGCGGGTCAGAGCTGTGTGTCAGTAAGACTTTACTCTCCCGTTGCTGTCTTTAACCACTCAGATGAAACGCTTCTCGGCTTTATCTCTTCCCTCTTGCGTTTGCCTCTGGACTCGAAACGTGCGTTCCCCTCCGCCCTGTGTGCAAAGCGCAGCTGATTCTCGGCTCTGGCGAGAGGGAGGATTCGGCACCTCATTTATTGTGTGCTGCCTTTTGCGCTGGGGGGTACAAGGCAGCAGGCAGGCCCCTTGCCTGCCGGGCAGCGCGGGCTGACCGAAGCTCCTCCCGCTGTGGGGCGAGACAGCGGGGGGGAAGAAAAAGGTCCAGCTTTTCCCGTGCGGTGGCAAGGTGGGGAGCGTTTGGGTCTGGCTTCGTTAGCTCACTCGTAACCTTGCCGTCAGAAGCGGCTGAGAGTTAATGAGAGAGACAGGAAATACTGTCTAATTAGAATGGAAAATACTTAGTCACGCAGAGGTGCTTTGAGCAAGTTGCGCCAGCGAGGTACTGCGTGTAAGATGGGGTTGTCCGCCTGCGAGCTTGGTGTCTCTTCTCATGTCATTGTGCGAGTCAGGGAGTAGTCTGATCGCAACGCGAAGCGCTGGCAGCACCTGCGCAGCCAGGCAGCGCGCGAGCCCGCGTGCAGGTTGTCTCTGCCCAACAGCGTCATGGCGTGGAAAGCTACCCGACTGGCAGCGCGATCACCCTGAAACAGCCGGCTAACTCGCTCTGCAGGGAAAGCCGGCTCCCACGCCTGCGTTACTGCCCTCGTGCCTTGTGCTGCGGAGTCATCCCGCAACTCGGCGTAGTTTTCTGCCCCGGCCCTGTGCCTTGGTCACGGTCCACGCGCGTTTCTGCTGTTGCAGTTGTCACCTTCCATCTGTCCAGGTCCGTGGCCTCCCCGGCGCCGCAACTGGAACGCGTTAAGACTGAGTGGATAAAAACTTGGCCTCCTGTAAAACGGTTACTGCTGGCCAAGGAGTCCCAAAGCGTGTTTTTTTTATTGCTATTATTTCTTTACCCCTTTCTCTGTGGCAGAAAGAGAGAGCAGGGGAAGGGAGTGTCAGATTATCAGAGGGCATCCTGGACTGCTTCCTACTCTAGGGACACTTTTGTATTGCAGTAAATATTTGATAACAATATTGTTTTCATCATAAGCTCAAGCTGATCAATGCCCCGAATGCAGGGGTAGCGCCCTGCAGTGGAGATGCCGGTTACGAGCAGAGTCATACAGTCTACCTTAATATCCTAGCATTAAACGATCCCCCCACCACCACCGGCACATTTTAGTCCAGCGGAAAGTTTGACCGACTCTCGCAGACAAAGGGTGATAAGTTCGAAGTAAGCCAAAGCTGTGACACATGCCATGTTTCCAGGAAAGCACGCTAAACAGCGCACGAGGTTAGAGACCAAATGTTGAGTTTTAAGGCATCATGAACAGAACACAAGGAAAAAGCTGCCCCCTCCCCACCCCCGCATAGGCTACTTTTACATGCAAGTCCTTGCTGCTTCCTGGCTTGTCACATCTCTCAGCTCCATGACTTGAGGCCAGGGTTGTCCTATAAGCTTGGGTACGGACACTTTGCTTGGAAATAGTCTCTGGTTAGGTAGAGCAGTTTTGCCCATGCTTCATCTGAGCAGTGTGCTCTTGCCCCACTGATACTGATGGCCCCAAAAATGTGCAAAAATGCTTTCGGCAGTTAGAGCTGCAACATGCAGCAGAGTACCGAACGAGTAGCTTTGTGCTGTGAAAGCTGAAAACCGGGGTGGTTGTTCTCCTCCTGTGTTCTCCCCTTTTTCCATTACATTACACACACATGCAGATGGAACAACGTATTATCCTAACAAAAAAGCCCTTTTTTTTTCTCTGCCCTGGATAGGGCTATATGTATGTGTGTGTGTGTGTATATGTGTGTGTGTGTATGTGTGTGTGTGTGTATATATACGGAAAGTTATGTATATATGTATGTATCCTTTTCCGGAAATAAAAGGCTTTCAAAGCAAACAATACAAATATATTTTAAAAAGCACCCAAAATGGAGGTGTCTGTGGAAGAAAGCATCTTTAGGAGAACAGCCAAAGCTTCTTCCTCCTCCTCCCAAACTCCTTTCAGCTTCTTCAAGGATGTCTGAAAGCCAGTGAGGGAAAAGGCAGCTCCATTTAATTGCAGAGAGGATGTGGGCTGAAAAGAAAGCCGGAGATGGAGTTTTGGCTTACCAGACCACACACCAAGTGACCTGTGTGCTGGTGCTCATTCAGATATGTGTCCCTGAGGAGGAGCTAAGAACTAATATTGCAGAAGTTATGAGAAGGTTTCCACAAAAGTCTGTGTCTGTTTTCCCTTTGTTTCTTCCCCTTTGTGTATCTTTATTAGCTTTTACTATTGCAGCAACCAGCCTTCACAGGGCTTTGTTTTTTCAGCCCTTAGGAAGAGGCAAGCTGCACGGAGAGGACATGATATGGTTAAGGAATGAATGATGTTTGTCCTGACCTTAAAATGATAGGAAAAAGCTCTTGGAAAAATCCTCAGCTTGGAGTCCAAACTGCTGGCAGTTTGTAATTGGCCATCTCCAGATTCTCCTGGTTCCTTTCATCAGTCTTTCTTCTGAAATGTGATTCTTCATGGAGCATCTCTGCAGATGGATACGATAGCTCATTCCACCCAGAAGGTCAGATACACCTCCCCTAGTCCAGTGCCAAGAGGGCCGTGTTTCTGAGAAGTCTGTGTTTGGTGTGGTGGTGGTGTATCAATACTAGCTACTTAAATTGGATTTGTTGGCTGGTCTTACCTCATTCTCTGGGCACTTTAGCAAACATGTGGAGCACATCCATAGGGGCACAGGAAGGAAAATGGTCTGGCAGCTTCAGCTGAAGTGTAATGATGATGGAGCGAGACAGAAGTAATATCCACTGTGCCTAAATGTGACCTGTCTCATTTTGGTTCTATGCAGTTGCTGCAGCACTGCTCTCTTTTGGAGGTATTTCAGTGTTGCCACAACTCAGATAATAAAAGATAGCTCTGCATCACTGGGTCAATTAATGTGGGTGATGTTCCTCATTGCAGGGGTTGGCTTCTGTATGTTATGAGAAGTGGTGGCTGCCCGAAGAACTGACAACACTTCAACGCTCAATGCTTTCTGTAAAGTGGCTCACAAACCCAGCACTGAAGGGGGCTGTTTATGAATGAGGCCAGGAACGCCTTAGCTTCTCAACCTGCAAGGGGCTGTAAGCTGGAACTGGGCTTGCAGGATTGCTATGGAAGCTGGTCTGGAAGCTGGGAGCAGAGCCTGTTGGTCAGGGAATTTTTGGTGGGTGCAAGCAGAGTTTGTTTGCATGTTGCAGTCCTGATAGGAGGCTATCACAAAAGCTGCCTTGTCTTTCTTCTGTGTGACGTCACATCCCCTTTTCCAGAAGGGCCTGGTACTGGGTTTGCTTTTGATACTCAGTCTTCCAAATTTTAAACCTGATTCTGAGGAGAACAAACCTCCTTTTCAAAGTGAAGGTTGGGAGAGAAATGTGGGAGGCCGGATAGGGAATGCCCCATGTGTCAGGCCTCCGGTGCATGCCTGGATCTGCCAGAGAATGTTCTCCAAAGACCAAATATTTAGAATTGCTTATGAAGAAAGTGAGTAGCTTCTTACAGGTTTGGCCAGGTTGGGGTAAATAGTTTGAACAAAAGGAAAAGACATGTTGAAAGTTTGCCTAAGTGGTTCTTGGCCTGTTGCCACAGCAGTAACGCAAGTGCCAAGACAGTTGAGAACTATCTATTGGAGACCCCGTGTGCTTGGTAAGTTGGTCACGATTTATGGGAACAGATCTTATCTTGGTTCATGGGCTGCAACACAAAGTGCTTCTGGGTAACAAAATCTTGTTAGAGAACTGCAATCTCTCCCAGAGTGGTTTCCCTATTCTTCACTGGATTTTTTGTTTTAATTTTTATTTTTTTGCAAAAGGCTGCACAAGTACTCTCTGGGTGCAGGGT